CCTACATTGTTGTAGGTTTAATAGCGGTTGTCATGACAAAAATCTTACTAAAACTACAATTGAAATAATCATAGAATAGACACAAAACAGATGCAAAAGATCTTTTTAACTTTAACAGTATTATGTCTCTTAACTTTAGTGATTTGACTTCCTGAAAAAAATAATTTTTAGTGACATTTGTTCACATTGTCTCAAACTATATTGGAAACAATAAATGATATGACCAAATGACTGCAAGTTTTGTTCAAATCTTAGGAAACTAATCACAACTGGCAACAATCACGTTACATACCACTCAAGTTTCATTCTGAATGGTTAACAAATCCACTCGTAGTTGCCTGTAGTAGTTACAGTAAGTACACATATGTGGGAGTGGGATAGTTTATGTAGCAATTTTTGCAACTCTGTGGTTCTGGGATGGCTGATTAGATAGTGGATTAATTAAAAGAAATGCATGTATGTACATCTGGTGGGATTTCCCTAAATTTGAGACCTGCCCACAATTCTTGTTTTTGGTAGTGATACTTTGTGCACTTAGTTGAAGAATCAACAATATTTTATAGAAAAAAAGCAAACAATATTTCAGTCCAAATTCTGTACTTCCTTTTATTCTCACCAGCAAATAAAATAATATAATACACTAAAAACATAGAAACTGCATAGAAACTGGTTTATCAATGTCTACAACATACAGATCTTGCTATGTATTTTAATTTTAGTTTCTGTGAGCCTGAAAACACGCCGAAACAATAAGTAACATGTCAATTTTGATGAAGTTGGGTCACAAATACTCTACATCACAATTCAAAATATAAAATATGTGACCAATATTTTTATATTTACCAAATTTTAATCACATCTTTTCATACTGAACACACTATTGTAAAAACAAAATGGCCACCAGTCAGTCATCTTTATAAAAGCAAAATGACATGCACTAGTTAATTGTAGTGGCTTCACTATGTGTTGAGTGTGTACATATCAAGGTATATACCTGGACATTTTGTTGCTAGGCAGGCAACGAGTGCTACTGTAAAATCTGTATTAGAAGCCACATGCCTTATAGAAGCCACACCCATTCTTTTTGAACAATTGAGAACCAAAAATTCACCATTTTTCATATGTGTACATGCTCTAATAAAAGCCACACCTCTGTTGCATTGTACCATTTTAATAGAAGCCGCTGCTTCAAATACAGATTTTACAGCAATAATTTCTAGTGTCTGCAGAGTTTCAGTAAAATGTTAGGATGTCAGAAAAACATGACAGATGTGGGTGAACAGAACCCTATCCACTGAAGATCTCCTCTTGGTGACGACTTGAAAGAATGACCACAAGTTTAAATTATACAATAAAATAACAGACCCAAGAAAATGGAAATGATATACAATTCTGTACTTTACCAATGAATGAATATTACTGGCCATACAAATCTCTCAAAAATCTCTTGTTTTAGTGTCCTGTTGATGTCTCATGCAAATTGAAGCAATAATGGTGTGACTGAGTGACAAATAAACAAAAACATGCACTGTTGTACTAATGCCAACTAATATCAAGAATTTATAAGTTAAGGGAATGACCCCCAGATAATCACAAAATTGTAAGATAAACAAATGAGAGAGTCTGTGAAAACATGTTTAGTGTGCATTGCAATTATAAGAAGAGGGAAATTACTGAGTATATGAACAAATTTGTGCCATTCTATAAAATGTAACAGATATTGTCAATAACTTGATTCAACAAAGTTGACTATAATTACAAATAACTTACTAGTTGGTTTAGTAATCTTTTATTACAATTTTCATGAACCTCTTTTTTCTTTTTTTGTTGTGCTGTGAAATGGACGGTTATACCAGTATTCTGTCCATACATCACTGTGATTTATGTTTAATTCAAAAAACAAAAATGGCAGACCAAAACATCAGTCACTTGTGGCTATGTTATTTCTTTTTATACCTTTGTTTTGGTTTTGACAGTTTTTTTGGCATCATTTAAACAGACCATCATTACATCATTATCACTTTTTGGCATACAGATTGAGAATTTCAATTAAAAATGGACATTAATGATTTGAACTGCCAAACATAAGAGCCCAATCTTACAAGCCATTGTTGATAATACAGTATAAATCTGGTAGTCTCATGACATTCCGTCTATGATCAAAATCTATGTCAACATGATTTTGTCTTTTCAAATGACAATTAATAATTTTGTCTCCTCTGTTGACCAAGTATTGCTGTGTTCGTTAGTTGATATCATTTAGGGGGCTGTTAGAGGGCATTGTTTTAACCCCAAATTCTAGTGTCTCAACACTGTTAAACACAGAACTAGTCTTCTGACCCTGACTAAACCAACTCTGATGATAGAAACTGAGTTAATTTATTCATACGGTGGGTATACTGGATTTTGGCTACACACGTGAACACAATAATATTTCAGACTTTTTAAAGCTCTTTCTACAAAACAATGTGCCAATGTTGTGCCCTTAAAAAATTGGTCACATGACCAACACTGGCTTAAGTAGATCTGTAATTTCAAGTTGCATGCAAAACAGAATATTAACAAATATTATAACAAACTCATACAATATACAAAAATTGCATCTGATAAAAAAAGAATGCAAAAAAAAATTTACATACCAGTATTGCATTTATTTTTGCTATGCTCTTAATTAATTATTTTTAAAAGTCAGCCAAATTTCAAGTTCAAACTTTAAGAGTAGTACTTTTACAATAAAAAAAAATAAACAATTTATTCAGTATTTTGTGATTGAATCAGATGCAAGCATCAGCTTCATCTGACACAATAATTTGTTTGACCAACCAATCAGGAGAATTGTTACAAACTGAATGAGCAGAATAATCAAGCTTATTTTTGTAAGGTTCTCTCTGATTTGTTGACAAACCACATTAGAGACTCCCTGAAAGAGGCAATAAAAAAGATATTGTTTTATGTCCTTGCCTGAATGTGATCTACACGCAATAATTTATTAAACTTAGATGCAATATGAAGAGAATAAACTGGGACGGAACTAGTTTGTTGGTAAATGGATGCCATTCACTTGCAAAAAATTTGGCTCTCGTAAAATTAATTGAAAGCAGTTTATATTAAATTACATTAAATGAGCATTTATGCCAGCCTGACATCACATTAATGCCTGACCTGCTGAAAACCTCTCTAGATAGCCATTATAAATGGTATAAAACCATGATAATGAGCAATGTGTTAACATTATGAACTTTTCACAGTTACACATCTTACTCATTAAATACACGCTTTTTGGCTTTTGAGAAAGTTGGGGACGGTGGTTGTGGCGGAATGATTGTCATACGAGACTTCAACATTCTACTCTCAGGGTTGCAATTCAACATTCTCTTGGCTGGACAGTTCTGAATTTGGTTGACAACCCGAGCAGCTGCCTCTCCAATCTCAGCTGGGCTAACACCCTGGTTACCCAGCAACTGCCAGTCTTCAATTTTGACTCCACTGGGAACCTATAAGAGACAGGAGAATGTGTCATATTCCTGTAGATTAGGCTATATTCTACTTCGTCCAAATGAAGACTAATAAATCGTCTCATCTAAGCAATATGGTTTGGTTGAAAGAAAGAATGAATGTGTTATAATTGTTTTCAAAATTTTCAAAATAACTTTTATATTAAGAATGACACAACCAAAGCTGTCATTTTGAATTACCTTTTTTTCTATTTTGCAGAAACGTTTTACCACTAAAGAAAGCAATCATTGAAAAGTTGTAAATTTATTTCATCACCAATGAAAAAACAATTCTGCACAATATCCTTGATTTTACTTATGTGTCTGTTTGTTACTTATTACCTCAAATATCTTGCTTGGAACATTGAACTTTCCACCAGCAGCACCACCAGTACATTTGATGGGTATGACTGTGTGGTCATTCCATGCAAACTCTTCAGCTTCATGAGCTGCACCAGGACCTCCTGTGAAAACAGAAAATAGATCAATCTCATACTCATCAGGTCATGAATTACAGAAAAAGCACAACTTGTGGATACTGTGGAAAGCAGACAAACATGGCTATTATCACAGAAAAACATGAATATTATCACTGACAAACATGGCTATTATCACTGACAATCATGGCTATTATCACTAACAAACATGGCTATTATCACAGACAAACATGATTATTATCACAGACAAACATGGCTACTATCACAGACAAACACAGCCAATATCACAGACACTATATCATCAACAAACATGGCTATTATCACAGACAAACATGATTATTATCACAAACATGGCTACTATCACAGTCAAACACAGCTAATATCACAGACACAGCTATTATTACAGACAAACATGGCTATTATCACAAACATGGCTATTATCACAAACATGGCTATTATCACAGACAAATACGGCTAATATCACAGACAAACATGATTATTATCACAGACAAACATGGCTATTATCACAGACAAACATGATTATTATCACAGACAAACATGGCTATTATCACAGACACAGCTAATATCACAGACACAGCTATTATTACAGACAAACATGGCTATTATCACAAACATGGCTATTATCACAGACAAATACGGCTAATATCACAGACAAACATGATTATTATCACAGACAAACATGGCTATTATCACAGACAAACATGATTATTATCACAGACAAACATGGCTATTATCACAAACACAGCTATTATCACAGACAAACACAGCTATTATCACAGACAAACACAGCTATTTTCACAGACAAACACAGCTATTTTCACAGACAAACACAGCTATTATCACAGACACAGCTATAATCACAGACAAACATGATTATTATCACAGACAAACATGATTATTATCACAGACAAACATGGCTATTATCACAGACAAACATGGCTATTATCACAGACAAACATTGCTGTTCTTACCTTCTACTAGAATGCATATATCAAAGACTCTTGCAACAACAGATTCGCGTTGACGCACACTTTCTCCACTAAACAGTGTTTGCCCAAAAGGAATTGTTTGAAATGTCCTGTTTTCATTTTGCCTTCCTTGTAAGCGTCGATCCTGAAGCAAACATAAAAAGCATTCATTCAAAGTAAACTATTAATCCTACAGTTTCTATTCAAATTAAATGGTACTGCACAAAAAAACGTCATTTGATTTATTATCCCTGCATCATCTGGACATCTCATGTACATTTCAGATCTTCAATAAGAGCCAAGAAACTTTCACAGAATCCACAAAGGCGCAATAATCAGTAACCAGTGGGCACAAAAGAATTCTTAGTATTCTTGATGTCCCCCCCCCCCCCAGTGAAAAAAGCTAGCTACTACATTGAACTTGTCGTTACCTGGTCATCTTTTGTCGGAAGAATGTGCCACACATTTTCTTCTTTTCCCAAAGAAATTCTTCTCTCTAGGAAGCTCCTAGCAACTGTTTCCCCAACACCATAGAAACCACCAGTTACCAGGACATTGCAATCATCTTCTGCCAGAGATTTCCCAATAGCCCTATGTGATTACATCAAATAGTGTTAATTGTAAAAATATCATGTACCCCACGTTGATTAAATTTCAACCTATTTTCATGTCCAAAATACTGACGTATTACACAAACACCAAAAAAAACAAGCACATGGAATGGCTTTTCTTTGATATAGACTTTTATATTCATTTTGAATTTGATCAATGTTTTACTAATTTAATTCATCAAATGACAATGTGAAATAATGTGTATTGTTGGATGGGAACAAATGGTAACAATAAAGAGAATTAGAATATTGAAGAAGGAACATATCTTTGTGTTACATCTATGCCACATAAAATTTTACCTTCATGCCAAATTTTTCCCAGTTGGTTATTATGTGTTGTGTTCATAAAATTAATTGTTAACTCTATTCACAGTGAAAAGATTATCACTATGACTCACAATTAGGTCATAATTTCTTTATTTAGATTCAATTCATAATATCACAAAACCAAAATAGTAAGCATCCCGCAATTGATACCAGCATGTTTATTGCGCTCAAATTTGAATTTATAATCATAAATATATTTTTGGTCAAAATATCGAAAATGCAATGGAATCATCAAAGTTCTTTTAAATTCTGGAAAATATTTAGTTACGTTTTGAAAACTAGGATTAAGAAGGAGGGTCTTCTTAGAGATTTTTATCTCAGATATGGATAACTAGATACTCCGTACACCATCGCGAAACTTGGTACTATGTACATGATAGCGTAACTTGGTAATATCTACACCATAGCGTAACTAAATTCCATGTACACTACACTGTCACTTGCTAATACTATGCACATTGTAACGTAACATAATAATGTCTACACCATAATGTATGCATGTTTAGTACAAATTAAAAAAGAGTTAATGACAGCCAAGATTCAATACAGTCTTTATACCAACTAGAATATACTAACTTACTTGCAAATTGCTTCCGATTTATCCCAGAAAAACTTAGTTCCACCAGATATATACACAAAATTACCATCTTTTGGTAAACTTCTTTTTATGCAGTTAATCTGTAAGACAATGAAGCAAGTCATTTGACTTCCATTATTATATGCACAGCAACTTGAGACATTGGAGTATATTGCATTCAAATGAAGCTTGCCTTGACAATTGTTACCTTGACATACTGTTGCTATGCAGTGCACATTTAACTTTTTTCGTATATTTCTGGAAAATTATGTTCATTTTGTCAAAATTTACCAAAAATTGGTAATGCACATGTGACCCTGTTCTATATTTAATTTAAAATTCCATCAGCGATCCAGTGTTGGTGTAAATTTGGCTGTGATGAGATCAGTTATTGCTTGTAATGCACTGTAATAGGCTGAGAATCACTAAAAAATGTAATATGTCACTAAAATCCAGTATGTAGAATTATTGTACTGATTTACAACAAATCATGGAACAGTTGTTATAATGACATGCATCTGTAACCCAGAATGTATGATTCTGATCAAGTCAAACACAAACTACAGTATTCCCTTTAGAGCATAGTACTTGTATGAAAACTTTCAGGCAATATATTAGTGAACAATTGGCATGAACATGAATAAAAACAAAATGGCCACCAGTTGGCCATTTCTGTTCGAATTATAAAAAAAAATATGATGTGCACCTATAACCCAATATGCATGACCATGATTCAAAGTTACAAGCCATGCATAGCACAATCCCCGTTAGTCTGACAGTTATTCAGGAATTCGTGAATATCTGTGGAATCTTTCAGTATTAAAATTGGCAAAATACTGCACCTTACATTTACCAAAATAAATACAAAAACACTGATATGCATAAATTGGCATACAGCAACCTCTGTTACAGTTATGACTATCTGTGTTA